GGGGTCAGGGATCAGGCAAAGTGCACTAGGGAAACCAGAGAGGCACAATCAATGTCTGGGGGGAGGGCAGGGGGTTGCTGGGATCTGGGAGGGTTTGGCAGAATCAAGGGTGTTTGCAGGGTTCATGGGATGGGGGGGCTTGGGGTGATGGGAGGCTCTTTCTTCACCCTTTGGGACTAGTGGCTAACCCTCAACTTTTCCCCACCCCTGACAACAGCCCCCACATGGAACCTACCTGCCATGCCTTCTGTCCCTCCCCCATTTCAATTTACTTCCTCAGCTCCCAGCACTGGCAAATGCTGGTAAAACTAGCACAGGGATCTGCTTGTGCATTGGTGAGTTTGACTGGCGGGGGAGTTGTCCATCTGGGGGTGAAGAGAACAGGCTGGGGGGCTAATGACAGCCCAGTGCCAGGGTAGGGGTAGAAAAAGCACAGCCCCAGGGCTCAGCTTTTCCAGCCTTGGGGTTGTGCTGGGAACTGTATGGAATTTCAATTAGATTGGTCTTGCTAAGTTAGACATGAGCTTGGACATGAGCTAAGTTAGAGTACCTCATAGGTATATGTAACAGGGGGCCTCCTTAGGGCCGATCTCCGTGGCCCGCCCCACCCTGTTCTTGGGCCAACCGCCTGCCTTCTCGCCTGCCACACCTTGATGTTAATGGATTCACTGATTGATGTCAATTAAGTGGGAGGCTACCCATTTTGGTGCCCCGATGCTAGGGGGGCGCTCTCTGCGGCTTCTTTCCTCCCCTACACCGCAGCCCAAGCCTCGCAGATGGCATCTTGATGTTCACATCCTCACCGGCCCTCACGCTGGGCCCCTGAATCCTCTTAACAGGACCCCTCTATGATCCCTCCAATCAGACGGCCTCTCCGCTTTCATTCGGGCTACTAGCCGCCCGAAACTATTTTCCCCTCTTGGGTGTGGTCCCCCCGGGACCTTTGGCTACTAGCCGTGGCCCACCTCCAGGCCCGTCGGGACCCCCGGCCCCCGGCTCTTGGGCGTCCCTCACGGTGGGCCCCTGGCCCTTTTGCCCCTCCTGGTCCTGGCCCCAGCATGGGCCAGTCGAGGGTACTATCTTGTCCAGGTCGGGTCTCTAGCCCCTCACTCTCTCCCAGGGTCCACCCTCTGGGCCCCTCAAACAAACGGGGTTACCCACCTGGTGGTGGGGGCAAGGGGTTAAGGCGCCCCGACCCGCCTTTCACCAGGGTGGTAACTGGCCTGGCATTTCCTGGGGGCTCCCGCGCCACTGAGAGCCCCACCAGGCCACCCACTCCTAGCAGGGTGCAGTTTTAGGTCATGCCCAGGAACAGGAGCCTCCTTACCATCCCCTACAGCTCCTCCCTTACCTCCAGATTGTTCTCAGCAGCCCTGCGGCCAGGCAATGTTGCTGCCTGGGCCTCCAGCAGCCAAACTGCCCTGTTTATATAGGCAGCCCTTGCCTCCAAAATGGCTGCCCTCATCAGGCACCTGGTGGCTGCCAGCTCCAGACCCTTAAAGTGGCAGGCACACACCGTGCCCTGCCACAGTATACTTAACTTAGATTGGGTCAGCCACTATTAGAGTGATCTAACTGTCCTGAACTTCTGTACAGTTTGCATATACATCCACCTAACTAGTGTAATGTCTGCACCTGGATGAGCTACGTTAGATTGGGTGGCTATTTTCTGTGATCTAATCTCCCCCTACCCTCCCTGGATGTCCATATGCAGCCATATATGCAAAATTATTGTAACTCATAGGCAGAGGTGGTAAGGATCTTCTCTGACAAAATGTTTTTTAGCTGAAGATTGCCAATTCATTGAAGCCCAAACCTGCACAGAAACACCCAATTTCTACAAACCTTTAATTGCATTTTTCTTAGGCCCATAAAAGTAGACACCCCACTCACCCCAGAATTGCCAATAGACTAGTGGCCTAGCTGATCATCTGAGAACAGGGAGACAGTTTCAAAGTTTTGCTTCTTCTCAATCAGGGACTTGAACTGTCACCCACATCTGAGATTATTGTCTTGCCAACTAGGTCATTGGATTTTTTTTTCCACTTTGTCACTTATTTTTGTCCAGCTGTGGAAAAGGAAAAATAATGGATCTGTGAAAAGTTCTGTGCAGTGAGTAAACCAACCTTTGGATTTCCTAGTGGCTACATTTTAGAAGTAGTAACAGCAATGATCATATTATGAACAAAAGCCTATATTTAGGTTGTGTGGCCACCATCCAACCCTCATGTACAAAGGAGGACATTAATAGAAGACATTTGAAATTATTTTTTTTTTATTTAGTGGTAAATAATAATATCTACTTCTTAAGTGCTGTTTTTCATCAATACCTTTCAAGGCGTTTTAAAAACAGGGTCAGTTTCACTGTTACCATTTCTAAAGATAGAGAAACAGAGGTCCAGGATGGTGGAGTGAATAATCCAATGTCAGAAACAGAAAAAAACCTGAAGTCTCATGAGACCCAGTCCAAAGACTTAACTAACGTAGAGGCCCGAGTGCTAAAACTCTTAAATTCTGTCACTGACTGAGCAGGAAAGTTTGGCAAGCCTTCTCTAAAATGTAGTCAATGTTAATTACTGGTACTGTGTTGGAAGTCTTAATTAAAGTTTATAAGGCACTTTGAGAGCCTCCAATAGAAGATGCTGTATCTGAGTGGTTCTTCTCACCTACAGCAGTTTGAGAGAGAGAAATGCAGTACTTACGAGGGTTGCTTGGTTGTGAATCCATTGGAATCATGAGTTTGGCACGAGTGGCTCTGCGGGCAGCAAGTGAACGCTCTAACGTGGACATACTACTTCCCACCTCCTCTGTATCTGGACCTACAAAAAGCAACATAATGGCTGTTGTAACCTTTGGTAAACCCTGTTAATCAAACTGCTCCCCACTTTGTCATATGCCCTACAAAAATCTTCAGACTTCCACTTTAAATCTATCCATTTATATGGCATCATCAGTGCACAGCTCCACAGAATATTCTGAACACCTTTGCAGAGTAAATTGATTGCTCTTCATTTTCTAACAGCCAATTTTAAATGAGCATTTCTTCTTTTCTAATCACATCATAGTTTAACTCTCATTTCTGCAGGGAGTCATAACAAAGTCATTTGATACAAATTACACTTTTCCTTTCCTTTGATATAACTTGTTACTGACTCCTCTTACCTTTCAAGGTTTCATAGCTACAATTTACAAACTCAGATGCATTAAGTCAGGGTCCTAAACTAGTATTCTGGTGCCCACTCTTCAGACATGCTTTGAATCCATTTAGTAAATGGCAGACAGTTAAAATGATTGTCTCAGCAGCTAAATAATAAGGCAAATTATTAAAGTGCTGAAATATCAATGTTCTAGTACTGAAGCAGATATGTTTAATATACTAAGCAGAAGGCAGATCAGGATCGTATCTTTGGGACTAACTGGCCCAAACAAGCAAACTTTTTGTAGACAGAAACCTACTTTATCGGTTGATATAACATAAGACTCTAGATTAACTCCCTTTTGTAATAGAGGCATCTTTTTCAAATGGCACAATGGGTTCCTGGATCACATCATATCACATGTGCATAACATATTAATGTTATATAAGTAGCTATAAGAGAAAATAAGTATACCGTTGCCATAGAAATAAACTAGCTTCATTTGGTATCTGCATATTTAACCTAAGCAGCTCAAACACCAGTTTTTTTAAGGTTGGAACTTGCCTTTCTCCCATTTTCTTCATATTAACTTGATCTGAGTTTCAGAATGAAATCTGCCCTGCACCACTTACCAACAACCAGAACTAAAATGGTTTGGTAGTTCCCGATTCCAAATAGTACACAGGCATTTAGTTCTGGTCCCACTGATCATCATGTATTTTTATCTAGTTTAGTGGTTCTTAAACTTTTTTTTCGTGGACCATTTGAAAATCGCTGAGGGTCTTGGCAGACCACTTAATAAACTTTTTTTTGTTCTACAAATCAAAGCACATAACTCTCATTTTCATATCAGCGGTCTTACCTTTCTAATGTGATGGATGTGCCTGTTTTTTTTTTTAGCAAAGTTCTGGGAAGTCAGGTGAAATGTTTGTCAGCTTTAGCCTTAGGTCACCTTTCTGCAGACCACCTGAATAGAGCTTGTGGACCACAATTTGAAAACCTCTGATCTAGTCCTTTTGGTCAGGAAGCTGCTATGCTGTGGTTAACTGCTTATCAGCATCCTGATCAAAGCCCTAATCTTAACAGACTTTGAGTCATCTTCCATAATCAGCTTATATTACTCACTGCTTTGGATATGAAGCACAGTTCTTTGTGGCAGAGACCATCTTGCAATGTGTTTTTATGATGCCTTCCAAAATGAGGCTGGAATTTCCTACATGGTAATCCATACAAATTAAAAACAAACTGTTGATAAATTATCAGACCCTAAAATCACGTCAGTAATGGATGAGAAAAATATTTTTCATCAAATTTAGAGGTCTGAACATTTATTAGCTCTGCCATTTCTTTTACTCCAAAGCCTTTCTATTCAGAGGTGGACTGACAAACTGAGTCAAATTATTTATCATTTTATATATTGCCAAGGCATCTGCATTATTGAAAAGCTTATGCAGTTTTCTAGAGTCACTTGGCTCTGTCACTCATGAGCGATGCAGTCATTGTAAACTCATGCCAAATATATTTATAGTTTCAACTTATATATTGTTTTTCTTCTGTAAAGGAAGAGACTAAAAACGAAAAAAGGTTTCTTTAAAGGAAAACCTGTGCTATATGCATATACAAAGAAGGAAAAAGAAATGCTAGACTGGCATTAAACTGATTTTTTCTCATTAGAATTTCTTTCCTTCCCTCTCTTTTTTCAGCATCTCCTTGGACCAAATTCTGACCTTAGTTACAAAACTCCCACTGTTCCATACTTCCTCTTGTTTTTCCATTTTATTTTTTCTTTGTCCCTTTTCATGTCCCTTATTTTCTTAAAGCAGAATTCAAACTCAGTAACATCTGGTTTCCAGCAGAAGTTCTGAGATTGTACCATATTAAAATGGTGTAAAAATCAAATACTGCATTTTCTTCTAGGTATAAACTGATCCAAGCAGCAGGTCACATTGGGAAAAAGTAAAATATCACTTCTGATGACTTGATTGAGTTGCTTAATATTTGATTTCTTTAAAAAACAAAACAAAACAGAAACCCACTCTGATTTTATAAACCAACTGGTAATATTTGAGGAAATGATAAGCAAAAATTCTGTACAAAATGTATCCTGTTGACAGATTACAGGTACTATAGATTTTCCTTTTCTAACAGGTTCGCACGTTCAGCATAGGTATTGCTCAAATTGCACTGAAAGCTATCCATATAAACCAGCCATGATTTTATCTCAGGGAAATGGTACCAGCCAAAACGACAACAGCATGTTGCTATTTGCCAACTCTAGCAATACTATCATGATGTTTGGGGCTTTTGTTGGAATTGCAGCTGCTGAAATCAGATTATCACTTGAGAATCCCAGCTCTCATGTTAGCCCTCATGCCAGCTCTAAAGGGTTATTTTTAAATCTCTTGACTGTTTTAGCCAATCTCACTTTTTGAGGTGTAGAGTGACTTGACACTTTGTTTTTTTAAATACTTGGAGTTAGCAGTGCTGCCAGAGGTATATTGTATCTGATAATCAGAGCCAGTACTAGCAGAGGGCTTCAGTGGCATGGGAATTCCTCAGAGCGACGTGCCCAGAATATATAGTGCTAGTGAACTGTGTATTGCAGCAGCCATTGCAATCCCCTTTGACAGGGTACAGCATGCATTTGTTTGATTCTGCAGACCTGGCCTGTTTCTTGTGTTGGACAGACTCTAGACTCCTCAAGTCCTTATGTCTGAGAGCACAACAATTGGGATGGTGGCAGTCCCCTGTATAAAAGCTATTAGGAGTTTCCTTTTCTCCCTTTGAAACATCAGTTGAAGGCTAAATCAGATTCTTCCCATAGGGCCAGGATTTATGCATTTCAGAACTGCTTATGGGACAAGATGGCATCCACCTCATGTGGAGAGGTAAGTCCCTGTTCTCAGCCAGGATGGCTGATGTACTAAAAAGGGCTTTAAACTGACTTCGATGTGGGGTAGGGAAGCTCCAAGTGGAGTATGCTTGGGGACTGGCACACAGGAAAGCTCCCACGTGGAGGACACTAAGATAACTGTTTTTGAAAATGCTAACAGAATGGTTTTCCCACAGCATCTCAGGAAAATGAGGGTGTCCGTGGGGGGCTTCAGCTGCCTGTACACCAATGCCAGGAGCATGGGGAACAAGCAGGAGGAGCTAGCCCTCCTGCTCTCTACTGGGCAAGATGACCTAGTAGGGATCACGAAGACCTGGTGGGACTCCTTGCATGACTGGGGCATAGCCATAGAGGGCTACACCCTGCACAGAAGGGACTGAGCAGGGAGACAAGGCAGAGAGGCAGCTCTCTGTTATGGATCACTATATCTCTCTGGAGACTGACATTGGCTCCAAAGATAAGCAGCTTGAATCCCTCTGGGTCAAGCTTTGGGGTGGGGGGGAGAGAGGGGAGGTGAGGTGAGAGAGACCCAACTATGGGTGGTTACTACAGGCCACCAAACCAAGGCGAGGAGCTGGATCTGGACTTCTCTCAAGAACTGACAGAGGCCGCGCATGCAAGAGACTTGGTTGGCATGGACGACTTCATTTACCCAGACACAGACTGGGAGGAAAGCTCAGCTAGGTCGGATCGGTCATGCAGCTTCTTAACTGTGATCGAGGAGCTCTTTCTGACCCAGGAAGTGCAAGGGCCAACCAGAGGTACCGCTCTCCTAGACTTGGTCTTGGCCAAAGAAGATGATCTGGTGTGTGGCTTGAACATTGAGGGTAGTGTGGGTGACAGTGGCCATGAGCTCACCAGTTCACTGTCCGCCACGATGTTGACAAATCAACCAGCGGGATTGAAGTCTTGGATTTCAAAAATTCTGACTTCAACAAGCTCAGGGCATTAGTAGGGGAGATGATGCAGGATCAGGGATGAAAGGTGAATGGGATGCACAAAGAGTGGTTGTTCCTCAAGAATACTATCCTCGAAGCACAAAAGAAAACCATTCCCATGAAGAGGAAAGGTAGCAGAAAGGACGGCAAGCCCTCCTGGCTCAACAGAGACATTTCTTGAAAAGGAAAAAAAGAGTTATACGCACACAGTAGAAGCTAGAGGAGGACTATACAACAGTGGTCTGTGCTTGTAGAGAAATGATTAGGAAAGCTAAGGCGGCAACTGAGTTTAAGTTAGCCAAGGGAGTCAAGGACAATAAAAAGTCCTCCTTTAGGTATGTAGGGACCAGAAGGAAAATAAATGGAAGTATGAGGCCCCTGCTTAACACCTCAGGACAGCTAGGAACGGACACTCAGGAAAAAAATTAACTCTTGAATGCCCACTTTGCTTCAGTATTTCACCGGACCAAGGGGAAAGACAAGCAAGATAAGGATCACAGGGGACATGGTGAGAATGATAGCCTTCCCACTGTGGCTGCTGAGCTGGTGCAAAACCAACTAGAAAAGCTAGACATTTATAAGTCAGCAGGACCAGATGGACTTCACCCAAGAGTGCTGATGGAGTTGGCTGAGGTGATTGCAGAACCCCTGGCAAAACTCCTTCAAAAATTGTGGCACACAGGGGAGATCCCTGAGGATTGGAAGAGGGCCAACACTGTACCCATCTTCAGGGAGGGGAAGAGGGAGGACCCAGGTCAATCAGCCTAACCTCCATCCCAGGGAAAATCGTGGAAAAAAATCATTAAAGAATCTATGTGCGATATGCTTGTTGAGGGTAAGATTCTGAACAGCAGTCAGCATAGCTTCATCATGGGCAGGTCTTGTCTTACCAATCTCATCTCCTTCTATGAACAAGTCTCTCACCACCTAGATATAGAAGAGAAGGTCAACATTATATACCTAGAGCCAAAAGGCTTTTGAATTAGTATCCCATGATATCCTTGTGGGAAAATTGGAAGATTGTGGGATTAACTGCTCAACAGTTTAGTGGGTGGAAAACTGGCTTCATGGTAGGACCCAAAGAGGTCTCATGAATGGATATGTGTCATCCTGGTGAGAAGAGGCCAGTGGTGTCCTTCAGGGGTCCGTGATTGGACTGGTGCTTTTCAATATCTTTATCAATGATTTGGATGTGGGAGTGAAAAGCTCACTGGCCAAGTCTGTGGATGACACCAAGTTACGGGGAGCATGGTCATGCCAGAAGATAGGTTGCAGATACAGGTGGACCTAGACAGGCTACAGAGTTGAGCAGACTGGAACCAGATGAAGTTTAACACTTCCAAGTGTAAGGTGCTCCATCTGGGGGCAAACAAAACTCAACATATATACAGGCTTGGTGGTAACAGCTTGACTTGCACCATGGCCAAAAGGGACCTAGGGTTAATGACTGACCATCGCATGAATATGAGCTGTCAGTGTGATGGGGTGGCCAGCAGGGCAAATAACACACTGGTACGCGTCAACTGATGTATCTTATATAAAACTAAGCAAGTGATACTCCTGCTGTACTCAGCACTGGTGAAACCACAGTTGGAGTACTGCGTCCAGTTCTGGGTGCCACACTTCAATAAGGATGTGGAAGAACGTGAGAGGGTCCAGAAAAGAGCCGCCCATATGATCAGGGACTTGCAAGGCAAGCCATACGAGGAAAGGCTGAGGGACTGGGTCCTCTTTAGCCTATAGAAGAGAAGGTTGAGAGGAGACTTGATAACGACTTACCACTATATCAGAGGAGTGCATCAGGAGCTCGATGAACAACTGTTCACTAGGGCACCCTTAAGGAAGACCAGGACCCAATATAAACTCCTGGATATAAACTCCTGGAAGACCACTTCAGGCTTAATACCAGGAAAAAATCCTTCATAGTCAGGGCGTCCAGACTGTGGAATGCACTTCCTCTAGGGGTGGTGTAGTCACCTACCCTGGTGGTTCTCAAGAGGAGACTGGACAGTCATCTCGCTGGGGCAGACCAGAACCAGAATAAGTTCAGTACTCAGAAGTGTAAGGTGCTCCATCTGGGGGCAAACAATCCCCAACATACCTACAGGCTCGTGGGCGACAATTTGACTTGCATCATGGCTGAATGGGACCTAGGGTTAGTGATCGACCATCGCATGAACATGAGCCGGCAGTGCAATGCTGTGGCCAGCAGGGCAAACAACACAAAGGCATGCATCAACCATTGCATCTCATACAAAACTAAGGAAGTGATACTCCCACTGTAGTCCACACTGATGAGACCACAGCTGGAGTACTGCATCCAGTTTTGGGCACCGCACTTCAACAAGGATGTGGAAAGACTAGAAAGGTTCCAGAGAAGAGCCACCCATATGATCAGGGACTTGTAAGACAAGCCATAAGAGAGGCTGAGGGACTTGGGCCTCTTCAGCCTATAGAAGAGAAGGCTGAGAGGGGACTGGATAGCGCCTTACCGCTACATCAGGGGAGTAGATCAAGAACTCCGTGAACACCTGTTCACCAGGACACCCCTGAGGAAGACCAGGAGCAATGGTTACAAACTCCTGGAAGACCAATTCAGGCTCAATTCTAGGAAAAACTCCTTTGCAGTCAGGGTGTCCAAACTATGGAATAAACTCCCTCCAGAGGTGGTGCAGTCACCTAACCTGTACATCTTCAAAAGGAGACTGGACAGTCACCTCGCTGGGGTCACTTGACCCCAGTTGTCTTTTCCTGCCTAGTGCAGGGGGACTGGACCTGATGATCTACAAGGTCCCTTCCAGCCCCTAGTCATCTATGAATCAATCTACACAGCACCACAGGTGTGTGAAGGGGGGAAACCCCCCTAAGGTATGGTTATGGCTGGAACATCTCAATGCACACAATGATGCTGACATTACCAGACTGCGAGGCACTCTTGCTGCCCATCTGGGTTTCAGACTGGCTATGGCTGACTGGAGTGATGTCTTGACAGCTCTGCATTGGTGAGTCTCTTCCTGAGGGGTCAGACCCTGATGGCTTTTCAATGTTCTTCATTTCCATCTCTTCGTGGTGTATCCAGAGGTCTGGGGGTCTCAGATCTTTCTGGCTGCCCTTCCTTTTACCCGCACTATGCGTAGCACGTTTTCTAGGAAAAAAAAGTGAAAATTGAAATGTAAGAACCTTTTTACCCCTCACATAATAAACCTTTAAAAATGAAGTGACATTTGCTTATGAGACTCAAATTTGTGGAACAAAGGAATCTCTTTGGGCTTATGCTACAAAGCAGAGGAACCAACTACCTCAGATGCGGCTGCTATGCATTTAGGCCTTAAGAGATAAATGCATTGAAGCATTGACACGTTAAGTCCCCAGGGTGCAGGGCTGGGTGCCAGATCTCATTCCTGTAGCACCAGCTGCTAGCTGATCCATGAGGTGGCACTGGTGTTAGTTCCAGATGAGGCCACTTGCCAAGCCCTTTGAGCTAGGCATAAGGTGCCTCACTGACAGCATATGCTTAGCAGATAAATAAGTGGGGGCAAGTGAGAGGAAAAACTGGTGTTTGTTCCAGCAGAAGGGCTTGGGGCTCGGCAGGATAGGTCATTTTTGCACCAGCTGATGTGCAGTTGGAGAAAAACTCCTTCCAGAAACAGAAGGAAAATGGTGAAGTTCCTCTTTAGGGAGAATATAATTTCTGATACATCTGCATTTTAGAAACAGCAACCAAAAAGTGCATAGTCTCTTCCTGCAGTGTTCTGCAGAGCCCATGCATTCCATAAACAGAGACAGCATATGCTATACTTCTTTAAAAATACATTGAAGAGTATTTTTTTTAGCACACATAAACAAAGAAATGCAGAGTGGCATATCCCACAGCAACACTAACATTGCCTCCTTATGCATATGCATTACAATATGTTTCTCTTTATAGGACCACCTTCTTTCGGGACTGCCTTGATGGGGTGAGAAGTCATTGTTTCAATGATGTTGAAAGAAATGTTTGCAGTTTTAACTGGTGGCAGGAGGCTGGACAGGTCAAATGGTAGTGACCAAACCAAAAGGATTCTACCGGTCTGCTAGTTTGAGGGTCAAATTGCGGGGGGAGCATCAGGATGACCACCTACCTGTGTAATCATATTGGGCACCTATACTCATGCTGGACCTCTGCTTTGATGTGTGCTAATTAGCATGCATTACAGCAGACTTGATTAATCGAGTGTGCTGCAATTCTGCTAGAGCGTGCTAATTAGTGTGCTCTGGCAGCCTCTGCATCACGTGTGTTCAGCGTCCCCGCATTTCAAAATGGGGGCAGGGGTGCTTTAACTAAAGCTCATTCAATGAGCTTTAGTTAAAGCACCCCTGCCCCCATTTTGAAGCATGGGGCACTGAATGCATGTGATGCTGTGGGCAATTTAATTAGAGTGGCTCTCAGAGGCTGCCAGCCTGGGAGTGGCATGTGGAAATGGGGGAGCAGGCAGCGCCCATCTCCTTATACTGCTTATCCCTCATGCTTTGGCACACCATGCCCCAGATAGCCACTCCCTGCCTGGCTGGAGCGCAGCATGCCTCAAGACTGGGGAGCAAGCAGCCACAGGGTGCCTTGGCACGGGGGCTCCCCAGTGCACAGAGGCACACCCCTCTGTGCATTTGTACCAGAGCTCACCACTTTGGCGTGGCTTGCAATGCTTTTTTCCACATTTTGTTGGTTTGGTTTGGTTTGGTTTTTTGCTACTGGGAAATCCTGGTAGCAAATTTTGCCTCAGCGCTGCAGATTAGGAGCACTGAGCACTGATTAATGTATTACTTGTGCAGTTTGTGGTACTGTAAAAAGGTTTTCAGTGCTACAAACCACATGTGCCTGCATGTCTGGATCCAGCCAAGGTGTGTATATACCTACATGCCCTATTACATGTGTACATTTACTTTAAAAGAGACGTATGTAACTCCCTTTTACAGTTACAGTTACCTAAAAAGTTTCATGGGTTCACATTATGTACACTGAAAGTTTGGGGATGGGTGCAGGCTTGCTTTTGGTTTTTGTTTATTTTGGAATAATATGACTGAACATTTTATATAGCACTTTTCCTCTCTGGATCTCTCAGCATTTTCCAAATGTGGATATGTATCATTAGGGCAAGCTTACAGGCATGACAAATGAGGCGCACACAGACACAGACCAAAATTTTTCAAACTTATGTGCCTATTTAGGCATCAAAACAACAGCAGTCTGATCTTAAAGGTGCTGAGCAATCACAACTCCTTATTGAGCCCCCATAAATAATTCACCCCAGGATACATTTATACATCTGCTAAGTCATTATGGCCTGATTCAAAGCTCATTGAAGTCAATGGAAAATCTCTGATTAACCTCAGTGGGATTTGCATCCTGTCTTATTTGAGCTTGCTTTTCTTTTATAAACTGCTGAACAAAATGGCAATCTGAAAAGTTAAGTAGAGGTATTTAACAGGAAGAAGAGGCTGAGTCAGTTAAGGAATTTCCCTCACTTTAAGAAGCTAAATATTCTTTATGTCAGGTATCCAGGTTGTAGCTGTATTAGTCTAGAGGAAAAGGCAATCAGGACTTATAGTAGAGATGATATCTTTTATTAGACCAAAAAGATTTTTGCAACAACAAAAAAAAATCTTTAATTGCAAGCTTTCAGGCACAAACACCCTTCATCAGGCATTGGAGAAAAGGCTGTTGGATTGAACTGAAAGTTCATATTTCATAGGACTTCACAGAAGAGTCAAAAGATGGAAAACTCCTCTGGGCAGTTGGTTCATAGCTGGTATGGAGCCTCTCACCTCCTTTGAGGATCTGTGATTATGCAAATTACGGTAAAAGCTCCCTTAACCGGCACCTTACAAGCCGGCATGTTCTATTAACCATTTTTACCCAGGAGAACTTTTACAATCTTTTCTCCAATGCCTGATGAAGGGTGTTTGTGCCCGAAAGCTTGCAATTAAAAAATGTTTTTTTTTCAAAAATCTTGTTGATCTAATAAAAGATATCTCTACTATGAGTCCTGATTTAAATATTCTTTATGCATTCCAGGCCAGATATAGAGGTTTGACAATATATATAACAACCATTTAAGTCAACGAGGATTTTGCATGCAAGAGGAGGACTTTTAGAACAAATATTTATCAAAAATTAAAATCACATTTAGGGCACACCATTGAACCCTAGGAAGCGAATGGCAAACTTCTCTGGCTTCAATGTCCCCAGGATACGATCTTCAGTTCTTCCAGAATCTGCCCTCAATCTTTATAGTGAGTAAAATTCTACAACCACTTCAATGAGTTAGCAGAATTTCTTTCAAGGATGAGGAAATGGAACATTAATAGAAGAGACTATTCTGGGATAGAGGTTTTGTGATTTGGCATTTTTGAGGATCTCCAAATTCACATGCAGGAGTTTACTGTGAATGCCCTCAAGTATCTTGTGTGCTTCACTTAAAACAAGCCCCACAGAGTCTGCCCATAATTACCTCACGTGCACACACTGCTATTTTCTAATGTCTGGAACGTCATTATTCCAAAAGCATTTTTTTTTAGAGCAAGGCAAAGGCATTAGACTGCAGTCTCTATGGAACGTGGATGTTTTCTAACCGTGCAGCTGTACAGCACCCAACACAGTTGACTAATAAGTCAAGTAGTAGAAGGAGGATCCTTTGTTCAAGCTTCAATCAGTTGGTTTTTGGCTCTTTTAATTATTAAAAAAACAATCCCAAAGTATTTTTATTTAAAACAGGAACATTTGCCCCCCTCCCTTCCCTTTTGGATAAGAATAAAAAAACCCCCCAAAAAAACAGATTTTTGTCACTTTCAATTTAAAATAATGAATTTCCCTGAGCTGGAACTAGACATGGGAAATTTCAGCCCCCAAAGTAATTTTCTTGAGAAAGATATAAACAACTGTAAATAGGGGGTTATAATGAATGTGTCATTCCAGCCATAACTACACAATTGCTATAGTAATGGTATCATTTAAAAAAAACCCTATATTCAGTGATGTAGCTCTGGTACATTGTTTATTTACAGAAATCGTTGATGTTCTTATATTCCAAGTGTGGCAAAATGAATCAGAGTGCATAAAAGAAGGTCATCAACAATGAATGAAAAATCAGTCGGACCAGAGAAAACTGTTACCAGAAAAATGCTCTGTCCATCTTATTCTTTTAATACTGATTTTAATATCATCAAGAATTAGTCTCAGTATCTGAGGTTACCATACCAATCTCACACTTCAGAGTTCTTCTATTGGGATTGCAAAGGAATCTGTCCCTTATTTACAAAACAGGTCACATCTCTGTTCTCGTCCGGTGCGGGGAAAAAGTATGGGACTGTGCTGAAGGCTGGATACAGAACAAGCAGCAAGCACTGTATCAACTCAATGAGCCAATCAGGATCTGAAACCATGGCTCTTATCCACTGAAGTGGCAGGGGCCCAATACAATCACAAGACTTGAGAGCCAGATGCTCTTGAATTCTACTTCTGCTGTCCTATTTACTTGCTTGTGCTGTCTCTATGGCCATGTTCCACAACCAATAACATGAACAATATTTACTTGCGCTAGCTACCTCTCACATAAGTCAAGAGCTTTCATTTGTGACTGTTTATAAAAAACTTGAATTTGCACAATAGCAAACGCTGCAGTTATTAAATATTAAATGTTCTTTGGTATTATAATTAAAAATTGTCTTCCTTCTCTTTGACTATGCAATTATACATATACAGGTAGTGGCAGTATGCAGCATTTGTGGGCTTCACTAAGATACCAGTCCACCTTGAATTTTTTAAGGTATGCTTTTTGCTGGGTTGTCTTTTGTTATGCAGACACCAGCAACCCTGGGCGAGGCAAATAATAAGCAAAAACCTGGCTGATCATTCATTAGCATTAGACCTTTGGACAGGATGTTTGGTCCCCTACAGAAAAATGGCTTTTTGTCTCTGTGAATCAAACCAATTATTGTACCATAGGATAAGTCTTCCAGGAGGTAGGATTCTATTTCCTGAAGCTGCAGACAAATAAGTACAAAGAAAGCCCAATGAGACCCTTTTCATTTCACCTCATTTGCCCTGATATTACAGTAACTGCAATTGTTGGCTGCATGTTTTTGTTTTTGTAACAGGCTGTAGTAAAGGAAACTCAGCTGGCATAAAGGTGCTAAAAAAAGCCAAAAACAGAAACACTGTTTACAAATGAAACGTGATTTCACTTTCACCTCTGCTGTTTCCTGTAGGTTGCCATTAAAAAGCTGGAAACAGCATTTGTCTCTCCTATCACCATGCATCCCCCACAACAAATCCAGCTAAATGCCTAGCAGGCAAAAGATGAAAACCTAGGTTGCAGATAATGAGCAACACTAAGGTGGGAGACACAGAGTGAAGCAGAAGAGAGTCTCGAGAGAATAGTACAGTGACATACAGAAGTGCTTTAATGGCTTACTGACTCATTCTCCATTAGCCTGAATTTAATTGTGCTTTGCTTAATGTCCCCACCTAAGCTCCCCAGATTCTGTGCATACTTGCTATTTTCAGTTGTAATTGTACTTGAAGATGATCTTAACTTACTTCTCATACTTTTCACAGGCTGAACATATTCACTGATTAACAGCTTATCGAGAACAACCTCCTATGATCTAATGGAGTGCTTTGAAGCAGCTTAAGAACACAAGTGCCTAACTGAATCAGACTAAAGATCTACCTGTACCAGCACCTTGCCTCCTGAGATTACTAGTTTACAAGCCACACAGGAGATATTTAGCATGCTATCAATACCACTGGTGAGTATTGTATTATACAATCCATCTGCAGTCTAGCCATCTGGTTTTGACAGATTCTTGCAATGGTAAATTTAATGGGTTGGTTCAACCTTCCTAAAGTAATGCCATCTTGATTTTGCTCTGTTTAAAAAGGGGCGGGGGCATAAGGATGTAGTGAAATTACTGGGCATTTCAGTAAAGAGAAGTAAAGGCAGGTATACAAGGGAATGGGGCTGAAGTGTATCCTTTATGCTGACAAGTGAAGGCAGACAGATGTCACACCTTCTTGAAAGACGTAAGAACTGCCTTTTACTGGTCAGACCATGGGTCTATCTAGCCCAGTATTGCCTATCACTCTAGCAGAGTGGATGCTGAGGATAAGGAGGGTAAAGCGGGCATGTCCAGAACTTTTCACCTCTGGCTTCTCTCCTGGGGGAGAGGGCATATTATCAGTGCATATTTTCCCAGCAGAAGTCATTGAGTTCCCAGTACTGAAGAAGCTATGAGTATTGTGAGGGTTCAGGATATGAAGAAAAGTGACATCCTACAAGAGTTGTAGCAGCTCCTGGAGGTACAATAAGAAGTTATTTAAGTCTGAACTCTTTATCATCTCATTTTTCTGCTCTTTATAGTCTTCTGAACTGTTGGAAAGTTTGCAGGCAGATATTTCATTCTTCCCAAAATGACAGAGACAGAAAATAGCTCTTAAGTTACCTAGCCATTCCCTTTGGCAGTACAGAACTATTCCATACAGTACATTTTATACTGCTTTGTCCCATTCAGTTTTAACTGCCTCAAGAAATGTGGCCTCCCTCAACTGCTCTTAGAAGACCATTCCACAATATTATATTTTTGCAGAATGAGGAAGACTAAAGTCTTAGTCAGTTGGAAATGGCTTTTCCTTGCTATTATCACCTTTCCAAATTCTGAACTTTACTTGTGATTCTAAAGGTAGACACAGTGCCGCATTGAACGCCTCAATGAAAACCACATTGTTTCAGTTTAGGTGGCTTTTTATCAAAGTTTGTAAGACACATGGACTTCACTGGCCTCAATTTTAGATCATTCAGATTTTGCTCTTATCTCTGCAGCTTTGGCCGAAATATTATTTAGTTATTTATAGTTAAAAATAGATCCTCTTTACCCTTCATGGACCTAAGTGGCACTACCGAGGCAACTAACTGCAATTTTTGGGTCCTGCACACAATCTGGGATTCAGTTTCTGACTGCAGAGAAACAGGACTTCCCTACAAGTGTACTAGCTGTAATGGCAGCAGCAGCAGAAGAGCCACCTCCGCCCCCATTTCAGCTCAAGAGCATTTGTCCAGTGAGCTGAACACCCAAGTTCTAGGTCCTGCTTCCTGGCAAAGTTCTCTAATGACCAGACCAAAATCTAAGCATTGCCCAGAGAGCTCTCCAACCCTCTCCATGAGCTCAGGCCACTGAACCTTGTATTTAATGTTAATTATATGAAATACTTAAATAGCACTTGGATAGTTTCTGCCCCATTGGGAGCAGGGTCCCAAGCTAGAATCTAGGGACACGTCCCTTCCCGGGCAGCATCTTTCTCATTGTTGCTCTCCTCCCAGCCATCTCCAATAGGGGCAGGGGGTGGAGGATATTCTGGGCAATGTCTAGCCCAGGGTCAGGTGATTAGAAAACTTCACTGGACAGCAGAAGAAACAAATTCAAACCCTGTCTGAGTGACAGGAAACTAAAACATGGGTCTGCCATGTGCCTTAACTATTAGACTATTGGGCTAAAGGGGTGGGAGACCTTCTTTTGCTCTATCATCCCCCATGCAATAGTTACAGTTTTTCTGAAACTAAAGTTTCAGGATTTCCCAGTGCTATGTGTGGGTCTGGGTGATTATATTCCCCCTACACAGCTGTGTGTGCCCTTCTGAGTATGCACAGAAAGGAAGGGTTGGTCACGTGAAGAGGAAACAGGTTCTGGCCCTGAATGACTCTTTTCCACTTTCAATATAAAAAGAATTGCTGCCAACCACCTTTATTTCCACATTTAACCTTTTTCTATACAACAATAGTCCCAAGAGAGCCTTCTGCTTGATTCAAAGCCAAGTGAATAAAAAAAAAATAATAATAATCCCATTATTTTTATGGGGCAGGAGGGCCAGACTTTTAGGAATTCAATGCCTACAATGAAGCAGATTTTCAAAACAGTTCATCACTGAAGATGTCGAGCTTGTCTCAAAATCTGGTGGCTTATTTTGGTGCCTAAATGGAGCCTAAACTCTTTTTGAGAAACCTAGCCTCAAGCTCTGGTCCTTAGGTATTTTTGAAAATTTGACTCCTAGTAACTATACTGTCACACCTCTGAGTTTAACAAGCTCAAAGCCAATTTCAGCCACATGACCATTAATTCTATCATTGCTCACCTCTCTTTTTCCCCTCAAACATCGACAAAAATCAATGCAATTGATTTGCTTTACATATAATCCAAACATTTATCATCCTCAGGCTACATTATCTAAAACTATGTTTAAATTTTAGATGCAACATTCTAATCATTTAGAATAGTGCAACAAGACATTGCTTCACTGATTAAGTTTTTAAAAAATTAACAGTTGCTGATACGCTGAGTGAAGTGGAGTCATTCCTCTGGTCATCAGAGGTACCCTTCATTTTTCTAATTTTTTATGAAGCAAGCTAAAATTTTAAGCTCTGAACCATCCCTTCATAGCACATGAAAAAGGTGGGGTGCTTCTCCAGTGTTTTTTTCTTGTATTTTTTAACCTATAAGAATAAGCAGGTATAACACATGTGGGCTTCATCTTGCTAGAAGTCACTTTGGAGGACCTGAAAGCTAGAGCAGAACAGTAATTTCCCAAATGCTAAGCATTTACTTTTCCATGCCTTCCTTTTATGTGGAGAAGTCAGGCAATCTGATATACAGATGATATTCTCAGGTATGCAGACAGGCAGATTTTCCCCAATTCTGTCCTGTGGCTGAGCTCTTCTTGAGGCCAGAGAAAGGGCGTGAACCAAGAGGGAAGAAGGACCAATTGCCTGATTCTCAGTCAAGTATTACAACTACTTTTTAACAGCTCTGACTTGGGCCACCAATGCAGCCCCCTTACCCTTGGCTCCTCTCCCATGCCCACTTTGCATTTCTTCTTTGTTATACTCTCACTCGTTGCATATGCCACTCATTGACAGTAGTTAGGGTGGCAAAGGGGCTAGATCAGGAAATTCTCTTGTGACAAAGAAAATCTCAGCTGGCCACTCATGTCCAGTGTTCAGAACCTCTGGAGCCCCCAAGTGGCACAAAATGTCTGGATCTGATTATATATTTTCCTCCTTGGGACTGTGCATTCCCTCAATGTTGAGGACCAGGATTGTACACAGGGTCATCCCTAGGGCGGGTGAATCAGGCCCCGCACTTTGGGGGGCCCCACAGACCCAGGTGGCGCAGCCACAGCAACTCTGTGCTGCCACCGCACCCCACCTCCCACCCCCACCACTGAATCAATCCGCCATCGAATCTGGAACATCCAGCCACTCAGCACCCCACCCCCCCGCCACCGAATCCATCACCAGCTTCCTTGCATCTGGGGGCGGGGCCCCGCACCTTGCTTGGGTCCTCTCTGATTGTACATCTTAAATCCTTTCACATACTCTCTTTGGGATGAAACAACAGAAGGGGTACCATAGTATCAGTAATATTTTTTTGTCCCTCCATCCACTTACTTTCTTTGCTGCGCTGAAGAACGGCGGGTACAGATCACAGCCACAATCACCACCACCACCACTGTAATGACCCCAACAGTGACTACAATGATCACCAGAAGGTTGCTGTTCTTCTGAGGTGTCACACTGCCGTGTGGAGGATGCATCTGCCCTATGGGAGGTTCTGAAGGAATATAAACAATGAGAGGGATCAGAAGCAGAATTTGACAGTAGAGTTCACACACCAACCCAATGTATGGTCATAGTTAATGGAGATTGCAAGAATGGAGTACATACATATCTGTTTGCTCACCAGATCACATGGATAAATTTTGTCCTTAGTTGAAAGAGACAAGGGGAAGGGGGAAAAAGATATTTTATGCCACACAAACGATGAAAGGTCATGGTTTATAAGAAATATTCTACTTATTTGATGTGCAGGAAAACAAACTGCTTGACACAGTGTGATCACAATCTACTCCCGTCTTCTGTTTGAAGCCACCCATAAAAACAGATACAATTTAAAGCCTGTCAGGGATGTGTGAATTCTACTTAAAAAACAGACAGCAGACTCAGAATGGTGTCATAAACCACTGAAATTTATCTTTCGCTGTGTTTGGGTGGCACGGCAAACAGGAAAATATTTAAGCAATAACGATGGAGGCGCAGGGTATTTACTGGGAATTAATAACCAGCTATTTGGATTCAGTGGCCCTCCCTCGTATTTGCTATTATCAGCTGAAAGTGGAAAAAAATAGGCAATATGGATTTTTTTATGGCTTATGTAGTTTCTGTTGATATTTACAGGAGAGTGTATCTCATGTTTTAGCTAGACTGAATCCCTGACTCATCTCCAAGTATCCCATTCAGTTCATAATCAGGCACATATTACATTACATTTCATTTATTGATATGCTGACCATACTTCTCCTGGAACACAATAGCAGATAGAAGACTTAATCTTCTGAAATTAAGTGTCCTCATTTGCTCCTAACTTCAGTACAATTGCAAAACTAGGTTCTAAATAACTAGTTTACAGGGAACTTTGCCTTCTGCAGCTTTTATACCTACCATTACACTGAAGATGCACATTTTATCTGTTTTTAACATCTTCTTGCATAATGTGTCCATTTACATACATAAATAATTACCCTCTTTTTCTAAGGTTCAGTCTTGGAAGTCCTTCCATTTAAGTCAGAGGGATTCTGCCTGACTCAGGTAGAATGATCATGGTCAACGGTCCAGGATCATAAGTTAGAGGGTTAAGTACTGGATAAAGATGCAAGTTAGTCATTTTTGTTTCTGCTAACAGATTCCAGAAACATCATAAGCTCAGGAAAACCAAACCAAAATGCTGTGTAAGTTTGGAGAAAGAAATGAATAATTCATCACCATTCATTCAATGGAACACAATGCATAAAAGAAAAGTTGTACTACAATATGTCAAGAACTTCAGGAGCAGAGTTTGCTGAGAATTTTCCAGCAGCATCATCCCCTCAAAAACTCACAGCTATCAATTAAAAAACAAGTCTGTGAAGTATTTTTGCCTTTATTAGAACTGAATGAGAAAGTAAAAAAGGTCAAACCTTTCTGGACTGCAGCTTTAACTAGTGATAAATGCAATTTCCTTGCAATTTTCTGTTTTGATTCCCTACCCCGTGTCATTTCTGCATTTAACAAATTAATTTGTTTAAATAAACTGACCTTTTCTCGTAGTTCTTTTTTCAGGAAATGAAACAAGACAACCATTTGTAAGATTCATGCTTCCACAATTAAATGAGCTAGGACAGGAATCCAGTAGTGGGTTTTTATTTTAATTTTCAAATTCAGCGCAAGACCTTGCACGAACATGATACATTGTACAGTGACCACCTGTAAAATAAAAGTAGTACTTCCTCTCCCCTACTCCAGGCATTAATTCTCCCTTTTCTCCTCAACCTCAAAGGTTACATTTTCCATGAAACCAAAGATTTCTAATCCAGGTTTGTAAGAACGCTGCTGGGAATTCACTGTTAACCATGATTCAGCTGATCCCAGAAAATCCATCATGGCAGCTTGGCTAGGTCTCACCAGTCTTAAGGAGCATAGCAGGGCAGTTCCATGACCTGGACAGCTTTGGTTCATGGGGAAGCACTGGCAGCTGCACTGCTGACAACAACAGCATCTATTTTTGTACACGTCTCTCCTCTGAAAGGCGGCACCCGGGGCTTCTGCACCATTAATTCCCATCAGGTGCACTACTAAGTTTTACTAGCATGTGGCACACCACAGAGTGATGCAGCTAACATTCATGACCTGTCATCTTTGAGTCTCTAGCCCAAACAAAGAGCCAGACCTATTGTAAACAGCCTTCAGCATGAGCCTAAAGCAAACTGTAATGAAAGCTTTTAGAGCCATAGCAAGACACCTTAATATTCTACCCTTCAACCAGTCACTATATAGCAAACAAAAAAAATGAGGTTTTATGATACAAGCCCTTAGAAGATCTCTCAGGCCTTCTTTGTGCAATTCAGAAGTTCCTCACTGAAGGATCTTGCTGTTCTGCACAAAGTCATGTCGACTGCCAAAATTGGGACTAAGTTACAAAATTGTCCAGCAAGTTCCTACTAGGGCTGCGTGAAATGGCAGCACTCCGTTTCAACCAGTGTTTCGACATTTCGACAGAACAGCACTTCATTTCAAATTTGGTTTTGATTTGAAACAGTTGTTCCGTTTTGTTCTGTCAAAACAGGTTGAAACAGCAAACTGTTTCTATGTTTCGCCCATAGGATATAATAAGGAAGGACCAACAGCCTATAACTTTGTCATTTCTAGCTTGATTTGAATGACACTTGCAGGAATGATGGCCCCTTCTGGGAGCATGAAGCCTGCCAAGTTCTAAGGAGATAGGTATAGGGGGGTTGGGGAAACTGCACCCCTAAATTTTGAAAGCAAAACTCATGTCACGTGTATGTGTTAAGCTACCTCTTCCTGGTGGATGGGCTGAAGGGCAGCTGGGGGGGGCGGAGCTTGCTGCGGGTGGGAGTGGAGCAAGTTCAGCTTCTGCCACCTATGCAGGGTGGGCAGTGGTGGTGGCACTGCTGGGAGGGGTGGTTATAGTTCCCCCCTAGTGCTGCCCCTGCTGGCAGGGCAGGTGGCAGGGTGAGGAGCTGCTCTGGAGCTGGGCTGGGATCTTCTGGTGGTGACAGCATGGTCCAGAGCCAGGGCAAAGTGCGATCTGCAGCCTGCACACCCCAGGCAGGAGTGTGCTGGCAGTGAATCATGGCTCTGTCCTGGCCCTGGGCCATGCTGTCACCTTTGCAAGGAGTTCTCTACTCTGCTGCCATCATGGCAGTGTAGATGACCCCACATGGCATGCTGCAATTCAGATCTAGCCTTCTAATAAGCACCTGAATTTGTTTAAATCTGTCAACAGTTAATTAAAAACCATTTGTCTTGATACATTTTGACATGGAATTTTAGGTTGCAGATAATATGGTGAGCCTTAGGCAAAAGTATCATTAATACAGAGGAAGCTTGTGCTTTAGTTTAGTATTTTTACTGCATTTAACCCCATGGGTCCTTTCCATGGTTATTTGATTCTTTCATGGGGATTTTGTGAGGGCAACAGTACTTCAGGGACTTTATTTGATATTACCGTCTTTCACTTGGGGAAAAAGCTGTTTTTCCTAAAACTATACTTGAAAGTATATGGTTGACATAAACAGGTCAAGTTATGATCACAACAATATGTTGTTTTCTACAAGAAGTCCTGGATTTCAAATGTTCCTCAACTTCTTTCAAGACAAGATAATATCAGTTTCCCCTAGAATAGGAACAAATATATCCAACTTCAAATAATGGTATAAGAACAACAACTACAAGATAGGGATATGTCCAGGCACTAGTAGCTATTTATGTGCCTGCCTCATTTCCTTAGACCATAAACTATCATTTGATATTTTCTATGGCAAAAAAGTAGGATTTTTAAATGATGGTAACTTTCATCTTTTAATGTATCATTTGCTAGGGAAAACTAGCAAAGCTTTCTTTAAAAAGCCATTAGCTTTCATTCTACCTTCCTGGCAAAAGTTGTACCTTAGAAAAAAACATATTTGCTATAGGTTTCTAAGGGATTTAAGTCTACACAGTACATATGAATTAACTAACTTTATTAAACCTAAGCCTGAATACTTTTACTTAAAATATTTCCAAGTCTGTTCAGCTTCACAGAAGCAGCATATAGCAATGCAAATGTTGATTCTTATGTATTTATGAACATCTTCCAGAGGGGTATCTAGGCCACCTATACAAACCATTGCTATATCATCCAAACGTCTTTCTTTGCTGTTTGTTACTGAAGAGTGAAATAAATCTTTATTCGTTGAGTTTCAAATGTTTCTTATATATTTTTTTCAGTCTTGAGAAACAGCTTTAGAACAACTGGGTTATAGCTGAACTCTGTCTCCTGTAGTGAAGCTTCTGTTGACAATGTCATAAAACTTAGTAAAAGTGATCTAAAACTCTTGCTTTGAAAAAGAAAACTGAATACAAAACAAAGTAGAGCACTAATTAGACGGATCTGATTTCATGTAAGACACCATTATTGAGTTGCTTGTAACAGCAGGGGTTATGCTTAAAATACAAAATAGCAGTCATTTGTTTACTGGCAAAATATAGCAGAGGAAGGTTACTAAATCCAGCATTCCCTCCTCGTCTTGTCTATGGAAAGTAATCAGTTTGACTTAATCAGTTATGTGCCTTGTAAAAATTTTGTATTTTCTAGCCTGGCTTTATGCAACACCTCAGGTGCTCTGTTCTTTTCTTGCGCTCAATAATATGAAAATACTAAAACTCTATTAGCTATGCAGGAAAAAGAGAAGATATTGATAGCATATCTAAAACTCAGTTGATAGCAATCAGATTCAGTTAATCTCTTTTATAATCCATCTGGTTCCCTCTCATGTGCTGCTAAATCAGTTCAGGTTTAATTAATGTTGAATTTTCCATAAGAGGGCTTTACAAATTGAAACAAAATATCTTGAAATGCATTTTATTATGTTTTGCTTTTAACACATTCCTTTTTATTATTTATTATCTTTTATTCCTCATTTCTACCATCATCCCTATGACCTGAGATCTAAGTAAAATTACTCTTATGAGGAAAACACACACATGATTTTACAATAGAGCTCTATTAGGCTTAGCATATTTTTTCAACTGAAAATGTGAAAGACTTTCTCCTGCAATGGGCGAGGTTAGCTTTAGGCCATCCAAACAGATTTTTTTTAATTTGTCATAAAAACTAAAGAGTGAGGGCTATCTTTAGGACCTGTTTTTTAATATGATCTAATTTCCTGTCTCTGTGGTTTACATTTACAAAATCTACAATACATATAATAACTACTCAGTCATGGTTAGGAGATGCCAAGGGATAATTAATTTTTCTCAATTATCTATTCCATTTCCCTCTTTAATCTCCTGGCACCTTCCTTTTCTTACACAGGCTACTTCACACCAGTGCTCGCAGAAATACCATAAGCTAGCAGTGGACTGCAACACTACCGCAGGCTTCTTCTCAAGATGTTTTTAGGGCTGTGTGAAACACTATTATTTCGTCTGGATACATGTTTTGCCATTTCAAAGGGACAGTGTTTTGTTTCAGCGTTTCATTTTACTTTGAAGCACTGTCCTGTTTTGTTTCATCAGAAGTATTCACTGTTTCGACTCGTTTTGACGTTTCACCGATAGGCTATAATAGGGAATCATGAAAATGCCTAAAACATTGTCATTTGTTGCCTGATTCAGATGCAAATTGCAGGGATGGTAGCCCCTTCTGAGGGCATGAAGTCAGCCATGTTTCAAGGATATAGGTGCAGAGGTTTCTTGGAAACTGTGCCTCAAAGTCTTGAAAGTAAAATTTGCCAGCAGCTGCAGCCTCCCGTCATCCAGCATGCAGATCCGGAGGCCTGCACCCCTGGGAGGGCCCGCACACCTGGGAGAGCTGTGGGGCTGTGCTGGACTTTTCCCAGGGGTGTGGGCCACCGGATCTGCACTGCATTACACCTGGGTCAGGCAGTCGGCACACCCTGCACCCAATGCTGGGGAAGACAGATGCTGCCACTGGCCCCAGGCAGCACTGGCAGCCTACTGTCATCTGGGTGCAGATCCAGGAGCCCGCACCCCCAGAAGTACTGAGGAGCTGTGCCGGACTCCTCCCAGGGGTGCGGGCCCCTGGATCTGCACCGGATGACAGAAGTCTGCTGATGCCGCCTGGGACTAGTGCTGGGCACAGCCCATGCCCAACACCAGACTCCATGGAGCTCAGCCCAGTGGTAGGAGGTGGAGCCCAGTCCCAACTCTGCCTGCCAGGCTGTGCTCTGATCAGCTTCACCAGCCCCATGGGGCAAGCCTAGTGGTGGGACGCAGGCAGAGATGGTGCTGCACTCTGTGGGGCTGGCGGAGCCGATCGGAGCACAGCACTGGCTCTGCCCACATTCCACCGCTGGGCTGCACTCTGATCAGCTCCACTAGCCCCATGGAGTGCAGTGCCGGCTCTGCCCACCTTCTGGCACCAGGCTGCACTCCATGGGGCTGGCGGAGCTGATCAGAGTGCAGCCCAGCGGTGGGATGTGGGCAGAGCCAGTGCTGTGCTCTGATCGGCTCCGCCAGCCCCACAGAGTGCAGCACCATCTCTGCCTGCCTGTTTAAATTTCCTTGAACACATGCTAAGATCTATTAAATTACATCCAAACTATAGTATTTTAAGTGTGATTGCAACCCAGCAAAAGTGTGGTTTCAAAAAACATGGAGGTGACATAGCAGCATAGGTCCTGAATGTCAATGAAACTTGGCTGTCTAACTTCTGTACCTTTGAAAGTTCCTAAGTGACTCCATATTTGAAAATGCTGGCACTGGCATACATTTAATTCTCACTGCTTGTTCAATACATAAAATCTTATAACCAATAACATCATGATTAAGGATTTTATGATGCTAGCTCCTTAGCTGGTATAAATTAGATAACTTTCTCTGACTTAGTAGAGTAAAACTAACACAGACTGAAGATGCGACATCTTCTGCTGTAGGGAGGATACGACGTGTAGACAGATACAGAAAGGATGGATGATTAGTAGCAGATGTTTTATATCACAGCTAAACTTCAAAAAACGCATGTTGATGACCAGGTCATTTTCCATTCAAGCTAATGTTTCATTGACAGAGTTAGCCGAGTGAGTAGAATTTTTGAAAATGGCACCAACACATACACTGGTCAGGCTCCAGAATAGGGAAAAAAAGAGAAGAGAAAGTAAGACAGAAAGAGAGAAAATTAAGAATGAAAAGAAGTTACCATTGGAACGGGACTTAATTCTGAAATAAAGTTGGATGGAGTCTAGTTTAGTTTATATTTACCATTCAGGCTACTTCTATCAATCAAGTTTGTGTCAACTGGCCAGTAGGCTCCATCTCCATGACGACCTGTGAACAGAAAAGCATGCATCAGGAACAGAATGACAGAAACACTGAGCAAAATTAGATTTGCTGCTTGAAACAATGTCTATTTGACAACATTTAAACCATTAGACAATGGGGAAAAGGTAATTCCATACATGCATGAGAGAAATCTTTCATAAAAGTAGACTTTTTAAAAGTTGAATTTCTATCCTTTAAGTACCTTTTCTTTTTTCTTTGCCTTCAGTAGTGCTCATTAAACTGAGAAAATAAGGTGAGGCAGTAGGATCAGTTAAAATATTCTTCCTTTAAAACTGACAGATCTGGTGGCATAGGTAGGTCATACCTTAGCTAACAGATACAATACTGGTCTTCCTTACATTTTAGCAGCTTATAGTCAGTGATGGCTCCTATTTGACATTTTGAGCATAGGTAAATGATCATTATTATTCTACAAGGGGACAGCTGAGCTCATCTAGTGCTTTCATGTCTAGTATTCCTCCTGTTACTTGCCACAGAATACTGTATTATAGTCTCATCTAGAAGGAAAAGCCCCTATATACCAGTAATTCCAGTTTTGTTTTTTTTTCCTTTTTTTTTTTTTCTTTTAATGAATTGACTTTCTTATTGGGTATCTACTTAGTATTGTTCCAAATCAGGCTTTATAACCAAGCAATTCAAACAGCTGGATTTAGGCTGGTGGGAGCAGAGTGTGTAGAAGAATTCAGAGTGCGAAAAAATTGTCATTTTTTTTTCCACAAGATATCATGCAAAATGTAAATCTAATTCATTCCATCCCCAGATGAAATTAACTTTTACATTGAAAATTCAGGCAAGTCAAACTTATTCTAAAGAACCTGATTCCTTTTATTTAGTGGGGGGCTGGCTGAGGGGGTGTCTGAGCTATTCATCTTCTGCTCTAACTGATTTGCCTCTGTGATAAGCAACCTTAGCATCAAATAAACTACCTTAGCATCAAATTCTCCGTGGTGGTTACAGCCCCCTTGCTGATGCATTTGTGCCACCTAAACCTGTACCTCTGCTTTCCCAGCCCCTGGGAATGAGGCCGGTAGGAAGTATGATAGAAGTCTGCTTTGCTATTCCTATTATCCAGGATCCTAAATCAGGAGTAGAACATAGTAAATCTCTGGTGCAGGATTGAACCTGCTCCTAAATCTCAGGCTACATCTGCGCTAAGGCTGCTGGTATGACATACCAGCAAAATGATCCTACTATGACTGCTTTTTACTGGCAGAGTTCACGCAAGCAAAGCAAGCTATATTACTTAAAGTACAGGTGTCTGGTATTAAGTATGTCCCTGCCAGCAGCTTTTGACTGGCCTGACTATGCTGGTTGCACCCTTTCACACTCCCAACTAACATAGTGATGCCTGCAGAAGCCTGTAGTATGACTCCCAATAGAGTGCAGTGATTAAGTAGATTGTACTCTTTCCTCTGAGTCTGTAATAAATCAGTGTCTTATCACTGAGCCATGGAGACCTGCACTACCACCTTTCCGATGAGATGTAAAAGGGAGTGGATGATCACTCTTGGTTAAACAAGAGTCTATGAGCCATTTTAGAAAAGCAACACATGTCAAGAGTTAGCATAAAACATTCTAGCTAAATTCCAGTTCAGGCGATGGCTGTCTTGTCTAGCTACTGCACAACCATTATCAGTTTCAGGTAGATGCTTTCTTTATTTCTTACCAAATACCATTGTTTATTGTAGCAGTGCAATGTTAAATAGTTGCCCCATTTCACACCAGATGTAGCTGTGTCTGTAATGTATGAAGTGATTCCTGCATACAACTTTGCCTCTCAATTTGTAAAGTGTTTTGTGATGAAAGGCACTAGATAAATGTAAGATCATTATCATCATAGGTGACTTCAATGTAATCATCTTTTCAATCAGTGTAATTGCACAGCTACTCTGATTTGATCCTAGGAAAGCAAGGTTGCATGATGCTTAGCTATAATAACAGATGAAATTGTGATAAATGTAGGATGCACTCTAATTCTATTTACCAAAATTACCCTCTGTAGTAGCATTTATTCCTGGCACTGCACTGCAACCTTTAAATATATCATGACCGGAGGAAAAGCTTGTTGGTAGAGTCCAGCACACTGGGTGTCTTAATGGGAGAGGCTGGGACCTGAATATTTTTTAATCTGTTTTTTAGCTTAGGTGTCTCGTTGGGAGATAAATTTGGCTAAGCGTCTAGCACCAGCAGGAAGTGCTGAGCAATAAAAAATATGCTTTAAAACTCTCTGCATTGAAGCTAAGCCTTTTCAAGGCATTACATTTGACATATGAATTGATTTTTTAAAAAATACACTTCAAAGCTGCATCATCCTTGTGAAACCATGTGCTGAATAACTGAGTAAAGAACATATAACATGGCTACTGGATTTGTGTGTACCTCTTCACTGAATCCCTCCTATTCAACCTTCCTGTAGGTAAATAGAGGGTGGCCTGGTATTCAGTAAAGGGAAGACAAGGGCGCCAGAGATCAAGCAAAGCATACTGCAGAGCCAGAGAAAGATCCAGGGAGTACAAATCTGTGCCTCAGAGCCTTGTAAATAAGAGTAAAGCTCTAGCTGTGATCATTGCAAATAAAGCTTGTAAACTTAACTCAGGGTGACCAATACAAGGATAGGCAGAGTGACCATAAGTGCGCAGACAGCCTGCACCCATCATTCAGAAAGGTAGAAAACACCTTATGCATCTCCATGGGATGTTAATGCCAAGACCTACTGATTTGGGTGTCCCTCAGACCACTTTCCAAGAAGAGTACCTTATTGCAGGAGGAAAAGCTTGTCTACACCCTCCACTTAACCAAGCAAACACAACCCAAACTGCTAGGGGTTGTAAGAAATGAGGGGCCTCTGCTCCTATTCTTTCTGTTCTGGTGGAAGACCATTGTACAGCTGCTCTTCTTTAGAGGAGGAGAGAGAAAGCGGTGTCCAATGTCAATGAATGCTCACTTGTGTGCTTGGCTGTTCTCAGGAACCTCTGCAGGCTGGAGGCTGAGAAGCATGCAAGGATTCCTGCTTTTCAGCCTCCCGATCAGAAAGCATGACTTCTGCATGCCGTCACAGATATTCTAAAGAGACTGAAAGGGGGATAGGGCAGGCTACACATCTGCACGGAGCTGAAGCACTCCAAAGCAAGCCACATTCAAGTTAATTTAGACAACATGCCAAATGAGGTGAGAACCAGACAAAAAGTTGTCAGTTCTTGTCAGAAAAATGCCAATTTTGAAAAAAAACTGGGTTTGTTCGGTCTGGGTTTTCTCATATTTTTTCTAGGATTTTTTTTTTTTTTAATTCCTACAGAAGCAGTGTCCCCACATCTGTTTTTTTTTAATAATTCAGAACAAAACCTGAAATTTCATTTGTGGACAAATTTAGATCCAAAATGCTGATGTTTTAGTGTTATATACATGACATTGGAATCGGTTTCAATAACTTGACAGATGATGTGAAAAGGGTGAAGTACTCAATGTTTTTTCTTTACCTCAGTCTTCATAGGCAAGATCACCTAACAGACTACTGCACCTGGCATCACAGTTTGGGGAGGAGGTGAGCAGCAGACAACACTGAAAATATAGGTTAGGAAATATTTAGAAAAGCTAGATTTGTAGAAATCCATGGAGCTGGATGCAATGCACCCAAGGATGCTGAGGGAGGTGGCTGATGTGATTGCAGAGCTGCTGGCCATTAACTCTGAAAACTTGGGGTGATTGGGACAGGTCTCAGATGACTGGAAAATGGCAAATATAGTGCCCATCTTTAAAAAAAGGAAGAAGGAGAATCTGGGGAAATAAGGACTGGTTAGCCTCACCTCAGTCCCTGGAAAGATGATGGAAATCCATTTCTAAGCCTTTGGAGGAGATGAAGATGATTAGGAACAGTTAGCATGGATTCACCAAGGGCAAGTCATGTCTGACAACCTGATTGCCTTCTATGATGAGATGACTGACTCTGTGGAGGTGGGGAGAGCAGTGGATGCGGTATACCTTGACTTTAGCAAGGCTTTTAATACTGCCTCCCACAACATTCTTGTAAGCAAACTAAAGAAGTATGGGTTGGATGAGTGGACTGTAAGGTGGATAGGAAACTGGCTGGATCATCAGGCTCAAAGGGTAGTAATTAATGGCTTAATGTCTAGCTGGCATCAAGTGGAGTGTCTCAGGTGTTGGCCCTGGGGCTAGTTTTGTTCAATAACTTCATCAACAACCTGGAAGATAGGATGGAGTGAACCCTCAGCAGGTTTGCACATGACACCAAGCTGAGGGGAGTAGTAGATACGCTGGACGGTGGAGATAGGTTTCAGAGAGACCTAGATAAATTTGAGGATTGGACCGTAAGAAATCTAATGAGGTTCAACAGGGACAAGTGCAAAGTCCTGCACTTAGCACAGATCAATCCCATGCACTGGTGCAGGCTGGGGACTGACTGGTTAAGCAGCAGAAAAGGACCTCTGCAGAAAAGGACCTAGGGGTTACAGTGGACAATAAGCTGAATATAAGCCAACAGTGTACCCTTGTTGCCAAGAAGGCTAACAGCATACTGGGCTGCATTGGTAGGTGTGTTGCCAGTAGGTCAAGGGCAGTGATTCTTCCCCTCTATTCAGCACTGGTGAGGCAACACCTGGAGCCCTGTGTCTAGTTTTGCTCCTGCCCCGTCCTGCCACTACAGAAAGGATATAGACAAATTAGAGAGAGTTCAGTGGAGGGGGACATGACTTCTGAGTAGAGGCTGAGGGAACTGGGCTTATTTAGTCTGAAAAAGAGAAGATTGATGGGGCTGGGAGGAGATTTAATAACAGCCTTCAACTACCAAAAGGTTGCTTACAAAGATGGTGGAGCTATACTGTTCTCAGTGGTGGCAGATGAAAGAAAAAAGAGTAATGGTCTCAAGATGCAGCAAAGGTAGTTTAGGTTAGTTCAGGGGCGAGCAATTATTTCAGGTGGAGGGCCACTTACTGAGTTTTGGCAAGCCATTGAAGGCCTCATGACAGGCA